CACCACCATTGCCATTGCAAGCGCAGGGGTCTCTTCAAGGTAAACTACTCTCTCCAACCGCTTCTCTCCCGAAGAGAATAGATAGCGACTTTCAAATGTACGGTTAATATTGAGTTGTTATTTCCCTAAAAAAATACTTTCAAGTTCAGAATATGTCCATTGTACTTTTTATTTATTTTAATTCAGATTGAAGGCTAAGAAAATACATGCACCAGTTCCTATTCAATCAGTAACAGATGACATATTTTGAACACATAATAAAATGAAATAAAATTATATAATATTCAAAAAAATTGTTCAATTTGTAATCATGACAATTCAATACATTTCCTCATATATGTGCATGTGTATTTTAGAGTAGAATTGTGTGTTTGGTGATGTTTTCAATAGTTATTCTTTTCTACTTATAAGAAAAAATAAGGACACATTAGTAGCCATATTTTATCCTCTTCATGCAGTAGAATACTTCCCTTTTTGTATGTCGTTTCAGGAAGAGAACTACAGTAAGTTCTTGAAAAAAAACTTCAAAACTAAAATAACATTTGTTATTTTATTATCTACCAGCGCTAAAATACCACTGTCTTTTTCTTTGAGAAGTTACATTTTTTTCACACAAGTTTAAGATCGCACCAAGTACAACTCACGGTGTATCTAATAGTACAATAGCAAATATATTGATATGGGCACGTTAGTATCGGGAAGTATACGTGCAAACAGCCACACAGACCATCTAAAAAATGCATTATAGAATTCGCCACACGTACATGCATGCATCATGAAAAATAAATTAGTTAAGTAGAAAATATATTCAGAGTCAAACCTTTCCAGTGGTTTAGCAATTAGCAAATCTGAAACATCTAAATGTGTCATTCTTTTGCCTATGAATACATTGATCGATGTAGCCAGCGTCTGGCGAGGAAGCACTTTTTGAACGCGCGACTGGTCGCCGCCAACTCTAGGCATGAGCGTGCAGCCCGGGCACTTCCCATCAACAGGTCACGGCAACCTCATCCACATCCTGGCTCAGCAAGGACGGAGCTTCTCGGCAAGAGCCTGCGATCAATTGAAGCCTGTCATCTCTTTGCATGAGGATTGAGCCAGAGCGCTTCCTATCAGCAAGTTTCCTTCTTTTTTCAAGTTTTCTTTTTTTTAAAAGCAGCATCTATCTATACCTATACTAATTACAGACTCCCAAGAAATTACCACGTTAATTAGAAATTAGGAGCCGTTTATCTGGTGGGAGATTATATCTAACGAAGAAAAACAATAGATGCCAGAAGAATCAGATTCTAAAGTATTTTGTCGTCCCTTCTTCTTTTGTCTCTCCCCATGATGGAAAGTATTCCATCTGCCCGTCTCTCTCCCCCGTGGAAAACCAAATCTCTAGCCCACCGTCCTTCCTCTCCATTATTTCCATCTAATCCCCATGGAACTATTCCATCGTCCTTTCCTCTCTCAATCACTCTCCCACATAGTATAGAAACCAAACTAATGTAAAGCAAGCAGGGCATGGATCT